ATTGTGGGGCGTGTATCTGACACAGTTGATATGGAACACAAGTCAGTGATCATTGACATCAACAACACCAAAACCAAGGAGATTGATAGAGTTATTGATTTCCACAGGAAAGTCTCCCACCATACATCAGTGAACATTTAGGGCAACAACAAAGAGACCGTCAAGGATTACAAATGCCTGGGTGTTCACTTGAACAATGAATTGGACTGGACTACAAACACTGGTGTCCTGTACAGGAAGGGTCAAAGTCATCCCCACCTACTGAGGAGACTGAGGTCCTTTGGCGTGTGCAGGACACTCCTCAGAACCTTTTATGACTCTGGCGTCTGCACTATTCTACGCCATCACCTGTTTTGGGAGTTGTTTAACTGCTAAGGACATAAAATCATCTAGAGAAGTTGGTTGTGAACTGTTCCTTAGAGACTCGAGAGCAGGGGTGTCAAACTAATTTTCACCAGGGGCCACATCAGTAATTCAGTTCCCCTTGAAGGGCCAGTTGTAACTGGAAGACTGTATAGATCAGGGGTCCCCAATTCCCAGTCCACGGCCCAGTACTAGTCCATAGGTCATTGGTCACAGTGAAAAAAAGTACTTAAATTTTACTAATTTACTTAATTCAAACTGTCATATCCATTTACTTTCTTTATTTAAAGATAATTTGGCAATATTTTAAAATAATATATCATTCAGACTCAAACAGAATACTGTAGAGTCTAACAAATGTTGACCAGTCCTTGGAACAAAACAGGTTGAGGACCACTGGTATAGATGTCACTACTCCATAACTGGCTAATACATGTTTCTGCAATTGATTAAAATGTATTCAAGCTACAAATAGTGTCCATTGCTGTGCAATAAAAAAAAAACTTTTAATTTCTCAGGTTAAGAAACTCTGCTGCATGGACTTTACTAAATGCTTTTTAAGATCCCGCGGGCCACACAAAACAGCTTGGCACGGGCCTTGAGTTTGACACCTGTGCTCTAGAAGATGAGGGAGAAAGGAGGATTTCTAACCAAGCTAAAATCCATTACGGACAGTCCCTTTCACCCTCTGTTTGACACTGTGGGATCACTGAGCAGCTATTTCAGCAGTAGGCTGCTACAACCACAGTGTCTTCCCTCCCATCAGCCATCAGACTGTTACAATACAAGACGATACATAGCTATAAATGTTAATACTTTTCCAACATACTACCCACTCATAATCTACTTATTGTCAAGCCTCTTATTGTATATAGTTAGACTGTGAACTGTTGTTTTTTCTGTGTGCACTTAAACCTGGTCAATTTATTCTCACTGAAAATGGTCACTTTATTGTTTATACTGCTGAAGCTATTACCCTATGTGAGCTATACTGTGCAAGACTGCCTCTAGAATTTCTGGTGGCAATGCTCTGTTTCCAGTGTTAGTGTTGGCATCCGTAGTAGTGATGTGCGGATCGATCCTGAAATATCGATACTTCCGATTCTGGATCTTTATGCTCTGAAATCGATTCTGAAATCAAAATATCGATACTTTTGATACTTACGCATTCTGAGATGAGGTGTATCCTAAACAGAAACATGGTGAAAAGTATCCAAATTATTGAGATATTGTCTAAGCGTCGCTCGGTTGGTGGGACTACTTCTTCTTCCGCCTGGGTGTGTGTGCGTCATGCGTAAGCACAGGGGCTCTACTCCGTGCTCTCACTCAGTCACTATTGATGGGAATTTCAGCTCTTTTTTAGAGAACCGGTTCTTTTGGCTCGGTTCACTGAAAAAATCTGACTCTTTCGGGTCACAAATGTCTCCTCAGATTATTTATTTTATTTATTTTTTTTATTTTCGTTTTACAAATAACATGTTTTCAGAGTTTGAAACATTGTTTTGACATATTTTATATGATTGTGTTCTCAGGTTTTTCTATTGTTGTGTTGACTGTATAGTAAATGAGGCAGCTACCTCAGTACACTCCAGAGTTTAAAATAAATAAATAAATAAAAATACTCTGCCTTGGATTCTTAAAGAAGGTATGATTTGAAATACACATTTTTTTTATTTAAAAGACAAATGATAATATATCAGTATCGATATCGGTATCGGCTATACCAGCCCCAATTTTACTCGGTATCGGATCGGAAAGGAAATTGGTGGTATCGAACATCACTAATCTGTAGACCCTCAAAAAATGTGAGTTTTGAGTGAAAGATGTGTAGCGGTCCTTAGCTTTGAGTTGGACAATAGGTTAAGAGGAATGTTTGTATATATTGGCTTAACAGATTACGCTGGAATTGGTGTTTAGCAGGTACTGTAAATTAATACAGAATATTCTTTTTCTTTCTTTCTCACTGTTACCGCTATATCAACAATCTCCATGTCCTTCTTGCTGTTTCCATAAATCTTCTTTTCCAACATCCTTTGTCCAACACGTTCATTGTTTCCTAACACGTCCATACCATTTCCACCTCTCCTCTCTAACTTTATCTCCCATCTGCTCCTCCTTAACTGTCCCTCTGATCTGCTCATTTCAAATTCTGTCCGTTATGGTCACCTCCAACTCCTCCAAGTCTTTTGTCTATTAGACAGCGCCACTGTCTCTAAACCATACATCATAGCAGGTCTCACTATTGTTTATTACATTTTCCATTTCAATCCTGCTGTTCTTTTGTCATCTTCCTGTTGATATATGACAGAGAGGAAGATGTGGACTTTGGGAAACCACATTCATTCCAACAAAATTTGGGAATGAAAGTGAAAGTTTTGGCCGTTTGCTAAAGAGAAATAGTTGATGTTATAGACAAAATTATGTTGCAGATAAGGATGAGTGAGAATGAGACAGATAAACTACTGGATGGTGATCTCACAGTGGATTAGAATGAGGAGATTTATACTAATTCCTAATGTTGGACTGTGGGAGAAAATGTTGTACCTGGAGTGAACCCACACAAAAAAGTATCTACAAACCCCAGTCAGAGTGACTCCTTCAGCCCCGGGGGAGGGCAGATCCGTGACTTTCCCGTAATGTGAGGGTGCTTATGATTCAGTTTTGTTTCTTCATGTTTTGAAAATATTCCCATTTCTTTAGTGCAGTTTTACCAACCTTGGACTAACACGACCCCCTTGTTGGGATTTACTATGTGCCTTGTCGTGTTTCCAGCTGAAAGGTCAGTCAGTGTCTTATCTAATCTGTATTTTCCTTTTTCCTCTTCACTACACTCCACACAGCTGTCTGGATGGAGTGGAGGAAAAAGTAGTGACTAATACGTAGGTATGTTACCAACAAAACAATCAAGAATATGTACCATATGATTTACCCTCAAATACATCTTTAGCCAAACATAACATAGTTAACAACACGAGTTAACAGGCATTAACCACAAGTAGACCATGTGGTTAATGCCTGTGACAATGTACTTTATTTCTTACGCTGTATGTCACTGGTGGTGGACATCATGTGTCTGATAATGCGTTGGACAGACAGTTTGGCATCATTGTCAGTGACAAGGTTTCACACCTTTTTTCCATATATGACTCATTCAATTGATGGGATTAATAAATGTCAAAATAGGAGGAATTTCTCAGAGTTGCTGCTTTTGTCATAAATGTTAATCTTGATGGTGTACGTAGTTCGTACAGTACACCCTGCCCTTCAAAAACAAATCATCATGTGACAAAATGAACACTGATCAAAACTTCTGAAAAGTTGATGCAAAGTGGAATAGATAGATGGATGGATTGATGGATGGATGGATGGATGGATAGATAGATAGATGGATAGATAGATAGATAGATAGATGGATGGATGGATGGATGGATAGATGGATGGATAGATAGATAGATAGATAGATAGATGGATGGATGGATAGATGGATGGATAGATAGATAGATAGATAGATAGATAGATGGATGGATGGATAGATAGATAGATAGATAGATAGATAGATGGATGGATGGATAGATAGATAGATAGATAGATAAACAATAATAATTAACTATTAACTTTGGGACTCTGAGTCTTTAGCATTGGTTTAATTATTTTTTTAAGTGTAAAGAAAGGATGTCAGTAGTACTGCATATGAAAATGTCCTTTAATAAGCAATATTGAAGCTCACTGCTTTACTACATCAAGTGATGCAGCGCTCAAAATAAATCGGACATTTAAATTTGCATGCCCCCTCTTCGAGGGCAGCTCTTCAGTTTCCATTTGCATTTTTCTGCTATTTAGGGACTCCTCTGCTGGAAATATAGAAGTGGTCTGCGTAAATGTACAACTTTAGAAAAGAACACTCTTCAATGTAGTCGGCAAAGGTGTTAGTATCAGTGTACGACTCTGAAAATGTCCTGGAAAAGTCCTGGAAAATGCAATAAAGAAGTGAGAAACCTGACCTGCAGACCACTGAATGCATTAAACATTAAACAACTAAACAACTAAAATGCATAACACAGATATATTGAGGCTGCTTAGTTTTTAACACATCAATTTACAGAGGTTAGTTAGTTGCTTAACAATGGATGTGTCAGATATCAGTAAAGTCCAGAAATAGCTTTGTGCAAATACCAAGGCTCATTTCATTGATAAAAAAGGCTTATTTTTTTCTCATACGTTATCCAACAGTGAGCATTTCACTGAATGTCGTGAAATGAGACACTGCTGTGTGAAATTTACCAGGTTTCCCATTCAGACCCTCACATTTCCTTTCAGGGGATATCAGTGTTTCTCCTGCATTTCTTCGCAGCAATGTTTCCCCATTCTTTCCCCAGGGCCTGTTTATTCTCATACTGTATCATTGTCCTGTCCTGTGTCAATTTCTCATGAGCTGTTTTCATGGCTAATAGTTAGGGCCTTTTAAAAAATCACGTTAAAAAACAACATAAAAAAATAGTCAACTGGCGTTTGTTTCATTTTGGTGTCAGTTTCACAGTACTGTACAGTACAGCTTCCCAGACGAATCTTAGTTCGGTGTACAGTACAGCTTCCCAGACGAATCTTGACGAAGCGGTAGTTGCGACCTCTGCTGGCGAATACGCGGTGGTGTTATTCTATGTGTTGTAATTTTTAGGAAAACGTTTTAGGAAACTTCCTGAGTCCTGTTCTTGGACCTGACACGAGGTGATGGACATATTTTAACCAGCGTCTGATCGTTCATATTCACATATTCCAAATATGTCATGGCTACAGTAAAACTCTGCTCAGTTTGGACTAATCAGAAACACAAAACTTCTCATGACGTGGTTTTGTATTCTGACGGTACAGGCAAGCATCGGGAAGGAAATAATAAAAAACACGGGAGCTACATAGAAAACACCAATAGCTGAATTTTATTTAATGTGGAAGTGTGACACTCAGTTACTGCCACACTCTTTGGCAAATCCATGCTTTTTTAACTTAACTTAATGGCAGCTGTGAAAATTTCCTTCACAGCATGTGCTCCATGGCTTAAACTGTAAATATATACATGAATTATTTAAAACTCTGCACTCATGAATGGTCACTAGAAGAATCAATATGGTGAACTCCCTTGGTCTAGTTCACATCAGTCCTTGGTGTTGGACTTGTTAAGTGACCTGGTCAGTATACTCCCAGTGTGTGAAGTGGCCCGACTGTGGCGTCACCCTCGTGTTCCGTTCCTATCAAAGACAAATACACACGCTTGTTTTTCTTAGCATTTGCATTGGTTATGCTGGTCACAAGCATGCAGCGCAAAAAAGCTGTGGAACCTGAATGTGGTCGAGTGACCTGCACACTGTAGCCACAGTCTCCAGAGTCACAGCATTCACACAGAGAATCATTCCCATCCAGGTCATGCCAGCTGAAGGACGAGGAAACACGAGTGAACATGCACTGTAATGCTTTTACATAAGAGGATTTGAAGCTCAGACAGATGTGAAAAATTCTACAAGACCATATTACGATAACGTGAGTAAGGAGCAGTCAATAGTCTGACCTGAATGTGGGCCGGTGGAAGAAGCAGGCTTTATTAATGCTGCTCTGGGATTTTTCTTTCGGAGTTGCCCTGAGGTGGCAGCTAATGAACATCTGGGGGGAGAGGGGGCAATGGCATTTTTATTCAATTGTATTGATTCCAATTCACTTCATGAACATAATAAACAGGGGTAAATGTATTTTATAACATATGTACTTCTACAGGTTGACAAACATTTTTTGTTGGATGAAATGCATGGATAGAAAATAGTAAAAAAAATGAATGAAAAGATATAGTAAAAAAAAAAGGGATCAAATAAACTCCCATGTAATAAACTCAACATGTATTTCTACAAGTGCAGGAAAAGCTTTACTCTATAGGTTGGTAGTCTGCTTAAGATGGGGAAAAGGAATAAAAGGAAATATTGTAAGTGTTTTACTGACAATAATTCTGTGTGTAAAATAATGAATAATCAAAAAACATCTACAATAACTTATTGTCACCTGCCCCGCAGACTTCTGCTCAAAAAGCGAGGCGTGAAAACTGAAGCATAACTTGTTATCCTGCTGCCTTGGGAGGAATTTAGAAGTGGACCCTGGTAACATGCTGTCCATGAGACATCTGTAATGGAGTAAAATCTTTATTAGAAGTTTTTAGAAGAAATTTGTCTTTCATACTATTTTTAAAGTAAGTCTGAAGCAAGAGATTCACCCATAACTGTTGATGAACCTATAGCTCGGCCCTGAGAGTGGATCAAGCTTCAATATGGCAACACAGTAATCCACATATACAGTTAGTGGAGGGTGCAAAGGGGCCTCCACTCTGGCCTCCAAAAACACTGCCTCCCCCTGCTGGTACACTGAGGAACTACGTAGAGCGGTACAGTCATCTGCAAGCCAAAGAACCATTATACTTTCAGACAAAATGTTGCCATGGAACAGAACTAACATTAATTGTGATTATTTAGAGTGAAATAATAGTTTCACCTTCCATTGTGTGAATGGAAAAGTCCAGAAGGCCAAATACACTGATGGTGGATGTCATAGGTAGCCATGTTGGACTTAACGGTTCTGCAGAAACTGTCTGCTCCCTGTACGGGCATAATAATAAACACAGAGGCAGTGGATGTATTAAAACACAAAATGACTTAAGTAATACATGATCAAATTTAAAATTTCTTTCATTTCGAGACTTACCTCAAGAAATGACATTCAACAGGTATAACAACTGTGGCTCCTCTAATAATAACACTCCCAGAGGACGTCAGAGCCACAGTGGGGAACAGCAACAGGTGGTTGGAGTACACAAGCCACTGGCCTCGAAACTGAAGAGAGGCCAGGTGATTTCTTTAATTCTCTGATTTGACTTAGTTTTATGATTTTTCAAATATATTTTGTCTTTTTTCAATTGTCCTTTCTTATTCTTCTGTTTTATGATTAAGAATACACTTAGTATATTTAGTTTCTTCTGAAACCATCTGTAAATTGTTACATATTAAGGTTTATATTTGTTTTTATCAGTCTCAACAGTTGAATAACTTTGCAACTGACAAAAATGGAATGTAACAGCTTCATGTCCTTGGTTTCTCCGTTGAGGAACTTAATTTACTTACAGTCGACTCAGTGCCACACTCTCCCAGCCCTACAGAAATGATCATCGAATAATCGAACCCACGTCCTCTCGGTCCACACTGTGTCTCCTGAGATGACTTTGCTCCAAGTCGCAGATACTTTGGATTGAATGGGATCTTCATCTTTTCCATAAAACGACGCATTACGGTTATTTTCATCCCGTCCTCTTCGCATTTTAACTCAAGGCCGACGGTGTGCTGGGTTCTTCCAGACAATGAAACAACGCAACACAGTGACAGCACAACCATGACTTGGCAAAGTGTCAGTAAGTATTGATTAGTCATGTTAAGGTGAGGAGAATTTAACTAAACTGCTACGATATTTAATTAACACTGACTCAGGTGTGACTGACGTACTGCCCACAACACCGACAAATCTTCAAAAAACAAACCAATATACATATAAATAAATATTTAACTCTTTTATCGTCTTTTTTCAATTAAATTCGTATTACGTTCTCGAAAACCTTTTTTTTAAATTTGTTTTAGTCTAGCTTGATTTGTAAAATTAAAATAAAATTAACCTAACATACAGTATTTTTCTGAGAAAAGCGGCTTTTTGGCGGAACTGAAATCTGAATTCCAATTTCCAATCGGACCTTTTTCTCTGTTACACCGCCATTGCCGGTTGTTGACATTTTTGGCCATGTTTCGTTAGTTTAAATGCGTATAGGTGTTTTTTTAAAGAAGAAACAAGCAAATTAATATCTATATATGTAACATATTTTACCTACATATTCGGTATTCTACCATTTTGTACACTAATTAAGAATATGGATGAAAAGACTTCAACAGCGGGACGTGAGCAGATAGACTGGGGTGAATATGGAGTCCACGGGACAGGGATTAATAAAAGTGGCATTATTAAAAATGTCCACATTGATCTCCCAAATCCACTTTCACACCCCCTGAAATGTACTTTAATTAAAGGAGACTATCTATACTATCACTACGGATGTGATGGCCAGGATGACAGAGGATGGGGATGTGGCTACCGTACTATAGAGACTTTGGCTTCATGGATTTGCCATAACTTGTCTCCACCAAAGTATCAAAGCAGACCCCCACCAAGTATCCTTGAAATCCAACAGGCCTTGGTCCTTATGGGAGACAAGCCAGACTCTTTTTCAGGCACCAAAGAGTGGATAGGAACATTTGAGGCCTCCCTGATCCTGGATTACTTCTATGATACTCCCTGCAAGTTGGTGCATATCAGAAACGGTGGGACACAGTTGGAGCAGGATGCGGTGGTAGAGCTTCATCAGCACTTTGAGAAGCACGGCTCCCCAGTCATGATGGGAGGAGACAAGGACAATTCCTCAAAGGGCATTGTCGGGGTTTGCACTGGACATGATGGCAGTTACTTGCTGGTCGTTGACCCTCATTACTATGGATGTCAGATGGAGAAAACGGAGTTGCAAGAGAGAGGATGGGTGGCTTGGAAAAGGGTTTCATCTCTGGATCAAACCTCATTTTATAATCTGTGTATGCCTCAGACTGCCCGGAAAAAAACCTAAGCAAATTGAGGGTCCCATGCTTATTACAGACAAAAAAAATCATTTGAAATCATGAGTTGAAGTCCATTTTGTCATTTTTGACATTAGTAGAAAGCGTGCTGTAAACATTCTAAAAGTACTTTCCTAATTATTTTGAAAATGAGCTGCAGCGACACCATGTGGTTACACTGTTATCCAGGAAATGAAGGAAACTCAATATTGTTGTGAATATTGTGAAAAACTACAATCATCAGAGGCTTTTGTATATATTTATCCTCCATCCTGTATCCAGTATTCTCATTTTTGACAAAAGTAATCTCTTTTAACTCAACATAATATATGTCACCATTTCACTCGGTGAGACACACTCTGTTGGCAAACATTGAGTTACAGCAATAAACAATATAGTCAAGCTATCTGCACATGTTTTTTGGGTTGTGAAAAATATATTCTTTAGTATACCAATCCTTACACAGGCAAATCTAGCTATCTGACACACAGTCCTTGTAGAAAATCTGAAAGTTCTTGTCCACATCCAGGACTGCTTGAGTATCTTCAAAGTTCATGTGCATGTTTGAATGTCGGAAGGGCTCCATGTTACTGCTGCCTTTTTCTGAAGCTAACTGCAAAGAGGGGATAGTGGAGGAGAGTAACTGTTAACTTTTCTTTAAAATGGGCAGAGTTCAACACCCACACTAAAATGATGGACTGTCAAAATATATATAGTTGTTGCCCCAGCTAATTTGTCTGGTTAAGCATTAGAAATTATGTCGTACAAATCTTGGGTATTATGTAAATGAAGCTGTGTAACTTTGAAACATTACTCAAGTGTGATCACCCAGGCAATTAAGTTCCAGCTACACAGAAGACTGTATTTCTTATCGCCTTAGTTTACACCCAACAGTGATCGTCAACTGGCGCCCACGACTGACACCCCCTGATTCCAAAATAAACATTAAATAATAATGTTAGACAAAAATGCTGCTTATTTGAGTGTCTGCCCCCAATGTGTCTGTCCAGAAAAAAACTGGCCATCTCACAAATAGTTGGTGACTACTTACATTATTTCAAACAGGAAATACATGTCAAAATAATCTTGAATCCATATGTACCTGGGGCTCAAACATCCAAGGGAAGTCCACTTTCTTGTCTCCATCGGACTTCATAAACCTATATGCAGAATAGACTGGAATATGTTTTTTGGGGGTCATACAGGGTCACATAGCGTGGCTGATGCCCGAATCGTTGGCAAATCTTCTTAAAGGAATTGCCAAGGTAGCCTTGAGGTGGAGTACCCATGTACAGAAAATCTTTACAGCGTTCTAGATGGTTAAAGTCATCCACCACGCCTGTCTGAGTTCCTTGAATCAACACTAAAATCAGCACAGTCAATACTGAAGACATGGTCCAGGCAGAGTTTGCAAATTTGGTGTCAAACATCACAGCTTCTTTTAGATTTGTCTGCTGCTTGCACTTCTCTTTCCGCCGCAGCTGTAGTACCAAGTGAATTATCTGTATCATGTCATCATTTCCCTTCTTTGCTCATCTGTGTGCATGGAAACTAGCCTCCCTTTGTGTTTTACATACATTCAAAGTGCCCTATGTGTTGTAGCAATAATCTGAAAGTACTAAACATTATCTACCATGTGCAGTATTGTATTACAGTGTGAAACTGTAGAGCACAAACCTAAGGCCCGTGGGCTGAATGTGGCCTGACACCATGACATCATTTTATGTGGCCCACCAGAGCTTATCATGCAAATGTCTATTTTAAATGTCTATTTAAAGAGTCTTTAAGTACTTCGGGATTGCTAAGCGGTTTGTGTTTTCTTGCTGGATGGTCACTCCGGAGACCATGACACCTGTCACTATAAATGATTTCCCGTTGCAGAAGTTGTTAAGACGCCGGCGGACAGTGTCCAAGTATGGATTCCAAGAGTAATCCAGGAACTCTGTGATAAATGGGACCACACTGGTCAGGGTGTAGGTAGAGGACTTGTCATCAGGATCTGCTTGGTGCAAGTCAGGATTCAATGGTCCACGTCTGTACCCAACAGCGTCGGTATAGTCCTCCAATACAGCCTGGCTGTCCTCAATGAGGGGGTGGGTGGTGTCCGTCAGGGGAAGGGCTTTCATATTGCCACCTTCATCATCAGAAATCAACTGACAGGAAACAATTAATTGGTTTATAATTACAATGACTCAAAAATAAATGTATTTTTCTCTTCATTTCTGGAACAAAAAGTTAAATGAAGGAGGTACATGTTTCACATCTGATTTTATTATTGACTAATTCAAATGATGGAATTATTATTAAGGAAATTAACTTGAAATTGTATCTATTTTAAATCATTACTGTGCATCTTGATGGCATGTGTCCAGGAAGCCAACAATATCAATCAGTCCAACCAATTGGAACTAGTCCGCTATTCATGTAACAAACATCTGCCTCATAAAATTCTTAACACTCCATGTTTTCTTCCTGTAGGGAGTCCTCTTCGATGTTATCAACTAGAGACACAGGAGAATCATTCATAGACTGATTACCTGAGGCTCATACATCCAAGGTGTGTCCATCTTCCTCTTCCCATCAGACTTCTTAAAAAACGTAGGCTGAATAGAGCGGAAGGCGTTGGCTGCTGTCATATAACGTGGCATAGTGCAGCGTGTCCTTGTACTTCTGACAGATCTTCCTCAAGCTGGTTCCCCTAATGCCTACAGGTGGGGTCTGCATGTAGAAGAAATGGATGCAGTATCTGAAGCTGTTTGACACAGTGGCACTCACCAAGGTGGAAGCCATCAGCAGGACAAAGTACAGGAGACGTGCCAAACAGGAACATCCTCACTCGGGTGGAATAGTACGCAAAACAACAGGAATCCAGGGAATCTACATCATGACCTGACGTGTCTTTACATACTCATAAAAACATTACAATTTCTCACGTTAGGATGAGGAATTTTCTGTGTTGCAGTGCTGTAGCAAAGTATTGAGACTGCTGCATGGGGCATCTGCAATGTGTATGCAAAACCAGTAGGGTAGAGTGAATTTATCAGATGGCTTCCCTGATTCTACAATGTCTGTACAGACATCCACCTCTTCACAAGAGACTACCACACTGAAAGACAAGAAAGATCAATCACATTGTTTTTTTTTCTTTTTACTTCCCTTTCACTTTTCACTTTTACTGCACATATGTCTTTGTCCTTGCAATAGTTAATATTTTTTGTAAATGTGTAAAAAGTAAAATTAAATTAAAATGTTGTTTAGAAATGTTTCCTACTTTCATCTTTTAAACATTTATTTTTTAATAATAATATTTGCTTCTGTTTCTTAAGTTTATAACAGATACCAGATTTTCTAAACAATGTTTGCACAGAATAATGTTGTAAAGCAAAAGTTTTCCTAAAATATTAAAGGATTAGAGAAAAATAATTTACATTGGTTCTAAAAACTTTAAAACTGTTCTGGTAAAAGTAGTTTAGGGATTCATATTTTATTTAGTACAATGGACTTTTTTCACTTTAATTAACGTTTGTTTTACTGCCTTCTTGGTACCGTTATCGTGCTGTCCGAATAATGTAAAATTACCCCCTCTACTGGCTATATTATATATCTGCCTTCCAAAAACAACACATGCAGTTCATTTAAGCCTAAACATGCACTAGTGTTGTTCGCAAATACGTCTGAAATCTGAATTCTTCGGGTGATGCAAATTAATGTAGTTTATTATCAAAACAACGGTAAGGAAAATGCATTGTATGGCTGTGTCTGTGCGTTGCTGCTTCGGGAGGGAAGTTGACCATCAACTATACATTGAATAAAATCCCCAATGCTAGATTGTAACAGAGTGCCGCTGTTCACATAAAAATTGTGCGATTAAAAACAAAACGTTACAGTTTTGTACAAACGGCCGCCACGAGAGTTTTTGCTGGCAAATAGGGGTGGGTATACTATGCTACAACATTGGTTAGCCGCTTGTCAATGTCCAGTCACGTGGTGTCACACGGACGGCCATGTTTCCGAAACACAAACAACAAGAAGAGTAGCGACTGGGAGCCAGCAGACACATACTGATACGCAGCAGCGTCCGTGGGAGGAGAGGGGGAATTAATAAATAAAATACGGAGCACGACTTTCTGAAAGTGCGATTCTGTCGAATGACTACGTTTACAGTGTTTCCAGAGACCAATGCAGACGTCATTTTGGCTGTAGACAAGCCGTGCAGACAAGCGTTCTGGTAGCTATAAACAGTGAAGGTAAGCCATGGTTCCTCTGTGCAGCTTGTCTTTAAGCTAGGTGGCTAGCTAGCGCTAACATGCTAACCACTGATTTTACTGCTCAACTAATGTGAGGATTTTCGCACTTGAAATTGATTTTAGTGAGTCATTGCAAGTTACAACATTATTGTGCCATTGTGATTGTTTTGTTCACTTCGCTTTCGGCCAAGCGCCACTCAAAAAAACGGAGTGAAGGTGGTCGTCCGCGCACAGGCGGAGCAGGCCGGGCAGTCCGATCCAACACTCCGCCCCCTCCGCCATCATATCTGGTGTCATTTGAGCCTACAAGCCAAGGCCTTTGCGATCAACGCGTACCGTGTGCTAGTAAAGGTAGTAAACAAGCAAAGCCCACCTTGGTTGTGTTTTTGAGTTAAAGCTAATTTCTCCACATAGGGTGAAAGTCACAACTTTTCCTTCTGTTGTTCGATACCTATATTTGCACAAATGGCGTGAAAGACGTTTAGCGTTCATGTCAATGTGGGTGCAACCACCACGGTAGCTAATGTAAGGTTGACTCAATTTCGGTTGGATATGGCCATTTCTACCACCAAACAACCAGCCATGTATGGGTTTAATAAGTTATCAATGGATGTGCGTATAGGTCGCTTTTACATAGCTGTTAAATGTGCAGTATAATGTAATGTTTTACGCCACGCAATACAACGCATTACATGTAGACAGTTAATACATTGATTTATTTTTAACGCCCCAAGCGTGCTAAAGTCTTTTCCAATGATATTTTCATTAAGATATAGTCATATAAGAGGTGTGTATTCATAGTTGGTGAATTAACGTTTCCAGACTCTATTAACATGGAATCATTTCCATGCAGTCCTGAAATATGAGGTGATCAATTTATATAACTGACAACTTATACACCTTGAAAGGTCATCCATTGTTTTATTTTGAATTATATTTTGCAAATGAATTTTTCACTTCCAAAGTAACTACTTGTTTGTAATCATAGACCATATATAAAAACTACATAAACTATATCTGTAACAGGCTGCAGTGAAGTCCTGGAAAATTACAGGAATTCTTTATTCTTGGCATTTTAAAAACATTGTTAATAGAAATAAAGATGTATAGGCTTATTAAGGAAATATGAGAAAAAGTTCTCATAAAAGTCACTGCTCTCAATTTATGACATAAGATATAAACAGCTTTTCTGACAGTGAAGCGATCTTAGTTGTCAGCTCTGGCTCCCCTTAAGTAGTGTCTGTTTTGTAAATTATGTGTGCAAGTATAGGGAGATTAATAGAAATTATAGAAAGTTTAAAGTGAGAAAGTATATATTTACATACTACAAGTGATTGAAAGCTAATTGGTCCACATTTTCTGCAAATGAAACAGCTGCCAACATTACCTAATAAGGGAAAGAAAAAAGAAAAAAAAGAGCAAGATGGAAACGTTCTAGAACTCTTACTGCATATTCTGCTTATTGTATGAGAACAATAATTCATCCAATCCGATATTGTGCTGCGTTCCTGGGTTTTCTCATCTTTTGTAGATTCAGCAAAAATTTAAAGAAATGTAATCTAAGTTATCACAATAAAGATTAATCAACATTCCGATATGTGTTTAAGTTTAATGCAGTATATCTCAAAGTTTAATTCCAGACAGCTGGTGGATTGTTGTCACTGCTGTTATCTTGACAGTGGCTTTTAAGAATCCTTGAGAGTTTGCTTTCAAACTTTATTTTAGCAGTCCATCCCTCACAGTCCAATTGACAATTGTGTCAGTCAACTTGTCAAAAGATTTACTGCTCTGTGCAGCTGATTGGGCCCCTGGCCTAAAATTGAAGCCTCCACAAATGTATGCTGGAAATTGAGATGGTATTTTAAATGTATCAAAAACCTTCCCACAGCATGTGTAAATAACGTGTGTATTAACTGTGTGTTAGGGCAGCAAGTAGAGGATCGCGATGTAGTTGATAACACTGTGTGTATCATTTTGCATTTGCATTGATCCTATATAGAAAATAGACCCTTAAGTTGAAGTTTTTGTTGTAAGACCTGTGATCAAAGTTAATTTCATTCACAAAGAGTTTGTTGGGACGACTGAGCACACGTTTCTAGATCACACTTGGAAAAAAAAAGAATTCCCAAATGTCTAGGTAACAACTAAAACGGTGTTGTCAGAGATAACGCTGTTCTCATCCTGTCTTGTGTGCTCAAAAGCAGCTGGTTAGTACGACGTCACCTAAATAGATGCTGAATATTTCTGAATGGAGAAAATCTCTGAGCAGCAGAGACTCTGCTTCATTCTGATGACAAACTAGAAATAGCTTCATTATCAAACTGAGGAAACCCACTGTGTTTCTCCCAGCTCTGTGTGCTGTTATGAATTGATCGAATTTGAACCATGAACCAAATTCAGACAATAGTTCAAGCTTTTGCACAACAGAAAAACTGTGGAGGGACCTCTTGCAAAATGTTGTCAATGCCTCTTATAATATCTGATTTATTTGTTGCTCACTTGTAGATTATTTAAATTTTGATTGTCCAGTTTTTTAATCTTTCTTCTCAAACTGTATTTTTCCCCTTAGCGGTGCAAAGGGAGGAGGACAGGAAATAAAGGAGTCACCGAAGGGGAATCTGTCAATCCAAATTTCTGGTGGAGTGAGAGAAGAGGACACGGCTGGAGAAGAGGAAGGAGTCGTGTATAGTGTGTCGTGTCGGCTCTTGGCAGCTGTTCTAGCAGCCTGTTTTAATTGTTTTGGGCTGTTTTTTTTGTTTTGTTTTTGTTTCTGCGTTACCTTTTGGATTAATAAGTTCATATTTTTAACTTTATTGTGGCATATAACTGCTGTAGTAAAACAAAAAAGACAGAAAACTTAACAAGAAAGAGGGTTTTTAGTTTGTTCCATTGTTAAGTTCCAAGGTTCTTTTTTGTTCCTTTTTTTAAGTTTAACAACTTTTTTTCTTTTTTGGCTGTGAGTAGCAGGAGCTTCCATTCTCCCAAATATCCTAAAACCCCACTTCCTCAAATAGTTAGGACCTGATAACCTGGTATTCCTCAAGCACCTGAAAGTGGCAGCTATTCTCTTTTTGTCTATGTGTTTGGGGAGCTCTGTGACCACAGCTTAAACACCACTCAGCCTTCTAGTCACCTAAGCCTAACTAAAGCCAGCTCTCGCCTGGTTCAACCAAGTCCAGCCTGCTCCGATCATCTGGACAGGGTAAGGCAGGCGGGGATGCATTCAGAACTTTGCCAGTACATATAATGCATGTTAAACAAATAGGTAATTGTATGTTGTTGTTTTTTTTTTTTTTGTTTGTTTGTTTTTTTTGCCAGATACTCAGTTCTCTGTGGACATAAGAATATGACTGCTGAGACTCTAAACTTCGGCCCAGAATGGTAACTAAACACATTTCTTAATGTCCGCATGTTTTGTCATTTACTTTCCAGAATCCTCTAGTCACAGGGTCACATATAAGTACAAACAAGTCTTTATCCAATCATTTATGATTTCCAATTATAATTTCATATGTGTCGCAATTTGTGCAAAGATTAAGCTTGAATAACAGTTGAACAGTTGATCAAAGTTGTTCACAGTTCATTAGATGTATGTAATCTGATGCATTCTACTACTTTGGCTACAACTGTTCTAATCCTTATCGCCTCTGCCTGAGGTCATTCGCAGTCTGTTTCTTTTTCCTGTCGTGCATTTCGTGGTCAGTGTTATTGTAACATTTAATTTGTAGGTTAAGGGGGGAGGTAGCTTTCCATCTTCAACGCTCTGTGACTGCTATGTGCATTCTTGGTGCAGTGCCAGCCTTGCAGAATATTTCTCTTTTTACACATCTGCAGCTGTTTGCCTCTCCTTGGCCCCTGCAGCCCACTTTTCTACTTATGCCCTTTAAACAGATTGGTTGGAGCCACACTGCTGGTCAGCTTGCTTCACACATGTTTTATGTTTTTCTTTTTTATATTTATGAAAATATATTTATGTATGCAAGATGCAGAAAAGAAAAAATATTTACAGCAGCTATTGCCTTTTGCAAGTGTGGTAACCCTTTTATTTAATTTAGTGCTTAGTCTTTGTTGCAAGGACAAATTTAGCACATGTATTAAAAGTAAGAATTGTACAAATTTGCAATAAATATTTCTGAGCAGCTCTCTCTCTTTGGCACAAGTCCACAGCTCTTCATTTGCACATTAGTCGCTGCTCCACTTATGCCTCCTTTTTTGATTCACCCCATGCCTCTAACGGCTCCTTCATGGTGCCTGCCTTTACCTCTGACTGCCCACACCCTCTTGCTGCATCTTTGCCTCACATATGGTTTTGATGTGGGGTTGTGAGTCAATGACACACTTTGTAGAGGCATGTGAATGGAGTCATTGTTAAGAAGCAGGCTTGGGCACTGGCCTTCTAAGTAATGGCTTTTTAAATGAAATCTTGAAATTGGAATGGCTAATGTATCATCTCTGTCCGGCCAAGTCTATTCAGGGGGACCTGCGTAGGAGGATGGCTGATTTGTTACAGAACATTCACTAAATTCTTTTTCTTTCTGTTGCGAGGTTGACTTTTTTTTCTCCAGTAACATTAAAATTAACTTTATGGTTGCACAATAGCCTTTCCTCTTTCCTGTGCGCCGAGCTAGGGCTTCACATGGTACGAGCATGCAACATTTTTCTAGTGTATTTGAGCCATTTTCAGAAGTGTTGCAACTGCATTTTTAAAATGACCTTGAGCTGTAAAGAAAATCTTATAGTCTTTATGTGTTGATAGTGATTTATCTACTTGTCTGTTACTTCCAGATTTAAAAAAAACTATCTAAATGTATTCTGCCTGTTAATATTGAAAACCCCTGTGCTTTTGTTCATGCAGGCTCCGTGCACTGTCCAGTGGGGGGAGTGTGACGTCCCCCCCTCCTTCCCCCGCCATGCCAAAGTACAAGCTGGCCGAGTACCGCTACGGCCGAGAGGAGATGTTAGCACTTTATATCAAAGACAACAAGGTTAGTATGTCTATGTTTTGGGGTCAGAGGACAAAATCAAGTTTTACATGTCACAAGCCTTTAATATGAGCATCTGATTTTTTTTAAACTGTATTGTTTATTTTGTTCACACACTGCTCCACAAACCACAGAACCTGTTTCGGGAATCCTTAGTTCTCCTCAACAGTTTTGTTGTTGCTCTCTTTAGGTCCCAGAAGACATGCAGGATAAGGAGTTTGCTGCTATTCTGCAGGATGAGCCCTTGCAGCCACTGGCACTGGTGCCTCTCACTGAGGAGGAGCAGGTATGAATCTGATGGAAGTGTTGCTGTATACAAAAGAAATGTATTTTGTGAAATGTGTTTAAGTTTCCTTGTTTTTACCCATAGGGTGTGTCTAAATTAGCAAGAAAAAAAAACAGTAAATATATTGCCAGACTTTTAAATTTGGTGTTTTGTTATTTAAGAGTGACCCATGTGCAAACTAGCTTTCTGCTACACTTTGTTTATTGCTTATTATTATTTTTAAATACATGCACAGGGCAGTGAGTCTAGCTTGGTACTCATTTAATATAAACTTTACAGACAGTAAAGTCAGTGAAGTCCATTCTTCTTCAGCATAAATAAATTACTAACAAAGGCAACATGCAATAGGTATATTACTTGTATGTTGCTATTGTTTATTTATACATGGAAGGCTAATGTTGCATGTACTAAAGACTTGGATGAACGATGATACTTTTTTGCGCTAAACAGAAGTCATTTATTTGTCATTCTGTCTGATGAATGAAGTGCATAATAATGTTTTTTAAAATGTACAAACCTTTTTGAGGATGCGTTCAGTAAACTTTCAAGCATGTAATTTTCATCAGACTAAACACAGTGATTTTTTTTTTTTTCATATTCCCTAAGATCAATAGGTTACTTGCTTCAGTTCAGTTCTGAAATAAAGCTGCTGTTGCTTAATAAATCTGGCTGTTTCCTCACATGCATCTTATTCCTTCTTTTATTGCTCTTTCCTTTTTAACTTCTTGCAGAGAAATTTCTCCATGTCTGTGAATAGTGTGGCAGTGCTGAGGCTCACGGGAAAAGTCGGTGGGGCTTCCCCTGCTGGAGTGGTCCGTGGACGAGGGGCCACACGAGGCGGTCGAGGTAAAAACCAAGAACCTTTTAAAAACGGGAACAAAGGAACATCCGTTATTCTCCTAGAAGAGGGCAACCATGTTAGACAAACACCTGCACTAATGCAACAAGCAGTCATGGCAAATTCATAACTAAT